GTAAGACTTCCTCTTCCTGACACAGGCCCTAAACTGGCGGCAATAGCTGCCCCAATAATTTTGGCCATTCTCTGGTCTTTTCTCTTCCCTCTAGATCCCAGTTGTTAAAAGAGGGAAAAATTTAAACAAATGTGTAACAAATAATTTGAACATTATAATCTTTTAAGCTTAAGGCTAAAAATATTAACAATATGATCATTTCCAATCCAGAGATACATGTTCCAGTGCAGTTCCTATTTTCCATAAGTGGTTTTGGTAAGAAGAATATTGTAAATGTGGATACATTTCCACTATTCCTCTTCCATGCCACGATATAGTGTTGTTAGTATAAGCAGTTATAAATCCATTGCCATCCTTAGTCTAACTTAATTCTTTTTTTTAATTTAAAATTTACAGAGGCTTTGGATTTCCATTCATTCATTGTTGCACATTTGTTCCCTCCCAAGGCACCCCCCCCACCAGAACACTACCCTCTCGAAAAAGTAAAAGAAAAATTCTTTGATTTAAACTGGCTAAGTTAAACAATTGTCTTTAAGAAGACTTCAAGGATAATTTTGGTGTGAGATTTAAAGATTATTTTAGGGCAATAATTTTAGGGGCTTATCCAGCTTCCATGCCAACAGTGAGTCTGGAGTTCATGTACATATAACATTCAGTTCTGAATTTCCCTGTTTGATCAGATTCATCTACAGAACCCTTAATTAAAATTTCAGGGTTGGTTTCTGGCACCATCCAGCTCCTCTAATCTCATGGCACAGGAGGGAGTTATATATTCCTAACTCCCCTCATTCTGTTGCTCTGGGCAAAAGAGACCAATTGTTGTGCTGTAGATGGACACTTGGAGACTAGATCCAAACAGTATGTAACAAATTAGGAGATAGACTGGAAGCACTAAGTATGTTATTAGGACAGTTAACTGGGCTGTCCCATGAAATCATGACCTTAAACCTCCAAACCCAGAAAGCAGGTCTCTTGAGACGCTTTTTGTATATAAACAGCAGTCTCAGCAACTACTTACTTTCTTTTTCTTTTCTTTTCTTTTTATTTTAAAATACATGTGAAGCCTTTCCTTCCTATTTACTTTCTAGGAGGGAGGTCCATCCACTTGGGATGTAACTTTCTAATCTATTTTTTACCTTAAAAAAAAGAATACACGTGAAGGGAGTTCTGGTGGCCTAGTGGCAAAAAGCTGCACTGCAATCCCAGAGGTACTTGCAGAGGTACACGGTTCGAATCTACCAGATGTTCTGCTGAAGAAGGAGGGGCAATCTCCTCCTGTACCAGTCAGATCCGATTTGATGGTACATAAACAAAAAAATAATAAAATTAAAAAAACAACATGTGAAACAATATTTACCAATATAATTTTATACAGATGTACAACTTATTGACAGCTACTATAGTAATTGATTGTGCATCCCTGCCATAAGATATGTTCATTAGTTTTGAAAATAG